AAAAAAAAAAAAAGCTTTCAAAATAATCCTCAGAATTCACCCATATTTTATATGGATTAAACAAAGCTTAATTAGTATAAATAATGAATATATTTTGAATAACTAACAAAGGTTTTTTGCAGTTCTAAATTAAATGATGGTTACCGAGATCCAATCGTTAGTAGTAGTTAAAGATATGAAATCATTATCTTTAGATCGTTCTTGACTATTTTAAGAATATTTACCACTAAATCTGAAGTATTTATGAATTTGATTTGATATACATCACAGAAATTTAGTATAGATTTATCTACTGAAATTCAAAACAAAAAGAAAAACTGAATCAAAACTTNAATTTAAATTCGAAATAATCAAATATATATATTAATATATATATGCATGCAAAATAAATGGAAAATTCATCATCATTTTACTTAAAAAATTGTAATAAGATGTTTTATAATTTCATTTGAAGCACTTACTTTGCCTTACACTTAGAAAAGTTTTATTTATTTATTTATTTAGAATCTCCTTTTTCCGCAAGATTGGTATTACGGTGTTGAGAAACCACTCGTGCTACAAGTTTCTGTAATGCGGCACCGCCAACGGATACTGTACGACGCCATTTTTCTGATATCCAAAAGACATAAAATAATGCAAAACAAATTCATTATGAAATACAATTACATGATGGAAGCCAGAAAACAGGATACAACTTAAGCCATACTCGATAGAATTTTTGGTAAATTTGTTTTTCGTATTAAAGGTGCATGATTGTACTATTTAAATTTTAATAAATAAAACTTAAGATACTATATTAAATATAAAAATTACTGTAATTACAAGCTTTACTAATAAAAACTATTCGTTCAATGTTTTCTAGCTCTTCTGGTTAGTTGTTAATGATTTTGAAAGACAGAAATGAACCGTTAACGTATAATAAAAATATGAATGAATTTGAAACAGAATTTAAATTAAACAAAATAAAATAGCAAAGTAACAAGAAAAGCATTTGAAGTGTTTTTTTTTCAAACCTTGCCAACGGAACATTGGGGAAATTTGGTCCAAAATTGTTACAATTTAAAAATCATTTTATATGCAAGCAAATGAGAGCAGACAATCCTATGATGATTAGTCAAAGCTCAAAAGCAGTAAAGCAATGGTCTTCAATGTGATGTGCATGGGCCAATTTATGGGAAAATGTGAAACTTGCTATATTTAAAATTTTAAAAACATTAAAAATACATTGAATCAATTTACATAAATATTTGCAGGAAAAATTTGTTTTGTGTTGTAAACTTATCTCACTATTACATATAATATAAAGTACTCTCTCTCTCTCTCTATGTCAAAGATTTTTTGTCTTTCAAATAATAGCTGGTAAGCTTTTATATTTTTATTAAAAAATGCGTAAAAAGACTAAAATGTCTTCACATTTTTGCCATGTCGAATCACCAGGAGCAACAGTCTTCCATTGCAGAGATGATCTTTTATTAGCGGCTACGCTGTAAGGAGTTGATTCTGACCCATTCTATTTTGTTTGGGAATTATTTTTTAGTTTGTTATTCTATTTATTTTGGGGCATTTTATTTCATTAAGGATAAACTACCACACCTCATCCAGACAAAATTCAAAAACTAACTCATCTTATTACAACTGCTGGCAGCAACCCATAACGTCATGGAACCCAGAAATGACATCTTGGGGGGGACTTCCAATGGAAGTTAAAAGAATGATCTACTCCCAAATTGCCATTGATAATCTATACTAATATTATAAAGAGGTAAAGTTTGTAAGTTTGGATGTAGGAGGTAATCTCTGAAACTACTCATCCGATTTCAAAAATTCTTTCACCAATATTTAGAATGAACCTTCAGGGTGGACATAGGCTGTATATTATTCCATTAAACATTCATATAAATTAAAAGATATCATCTAGGTAAGCGATATATTTTTGGTGTCAGCAGGTGGTGAAGGGCAAGACGCGTACATATACAAGATAGGTAACTGCACAGCGCAGTTGCATGGTCGGCAAGATATGCAATGCACGTGTCCGAACTTGTATATTATATAGATGTTGAAATTCCACTCCTGCAGAGGAGAGGAGAGGGACAAAATTAAGGCTTAACGTGAAGAACTTGGCTTCTATTATACTATTTGAGATGCGGTTTTTTGCATTTTTGATTGCGTTTTAATAGAGTACGTCAAGAAAATGTACACTAAGAAGGGATTTTTCGAAATTCCCTCCCGCAGGGAGTGTTATACATTTATAATAGATACATTTTGAGCCACAGCAACACGTGGCTGGGTACAGCTAGTACAAATTAAAAACAAAAAAGATTATTAGAATGAATGGAATGTTAACAATTAAGTATGTAAATAGGGTTGAGTGGGCTTATGCATGTAGTGTTGTCCCTATAGCACTGTAAGGAGGAGATGATGCTAAGGATTGAACAAGATTGATGAAAGGCTTTCAAAGTTCCACTGACGATAGAAGTTCTTGGTGATATTAGGCAAATTTGTAAAATTTCTTTGTGATTTTTGATATATTCTCATATTTTGCTTGTTGGGTTTTGTGGAGATAATTCTAAGATAGTTATAATTTAATTTGTAAGTTCCCAATTGTCAGGAAAGTTATGTACTGTACATATTTATTTTTTGGATTTGATAAATTATCTTTATTATATTTTGTAATTTTTTGCTAACTTCACTTCATTATTGTACATATTCAGGCTTAAACTAATAATATTTTTTCATATTATGTATAGTAATTATTTTGGGTTTTTCACTTACTAATGATTTCACTCTTATTTATTGCCTGCATAAAGTCCAGGCCTGGCACTTTCAAACCCACATTTATGTAATGCACTGTTAGGATATTATCCAGCTTTTGATCAAAATAACTGGGATGTTTCGATGCCTCTGCAAAAATATGCAAAACAGTTTGAAAAGGTTTACAGGTAGCGAGCCAACAATTAAAAAATACATAGTTTCTTTTAAAAGATTTTATATTTATGGTTTTTATGAGGAAGGCACTGTATAGTCTTGTGTAGTGTAAATCAGTATTATGTTCCAAGTTTCCATCATAATCCTTATCAAGTTAATTGATTAAAAAATGAATATCCTATCTTATCTAACTTGGCTAGTGTGGCAATCAAAACCCTTCTTCCAATTACACCATTTCAGCTATCACAGTAATTAAAATGCACATCAAAATGAGCCAAAACCACATCTGTGTTGCAATTATCCAAATACCAGACCCAGATATTCACAAATAATAAAAAATGTTTGGTCATACCACCTGCACTAGTCTGTTCACAATTGTTTTCCTTTATTTGACATTATTTACAACTGCATTTTGCAAAGAATAAACCTTACATAAGAATGATTGTTTATTTCTTTGTACAGTGAAATATCGGTATAATGAAATTGAGGGAGAACCATTGAAATATTTTTGTTATTCTGAAATTTTTTTATATTGAAACATAGTCAAAAATGCAAGGATAAAAGAAATTTATTGATTAAAAAACATTTTGAAGTAAGAAAGTTTTTCTAAATGTAATATTTTTCAAAATGTAAGTTATAATAAATTAGAATAAAAATTAATCTGTAATAATTATCATAAAATATCACTGGCGAACAACTAAAATAACGATCCAGAAGTACTGATTAGTTGGAATCCCACCTATTTAATTGTTATTTCTGCTTGTAGCTGTTATTTTCTGGTAAAAGAAGTCTAAATTTTGTGTGTGTCATTTGTTTAATCAAAGTTTTTTCGATAAAATCCAGTACCGCGACACAGCATTTCCCATAAGCTGTCAGGCACATCTTTTTATTTAATTCCTTTTTGCACATTATCTAATATTTTATTCTTCTCTTCCAAAGAAAACTGTTTGTTTTTCTCTGTTTTTTTCTTGTAAACTTAAAAAGAAATAAACTGTAGAGTAATAAATAACATCAACACAAAACCATAACCAAGGATTAAAATTCATGTTGCCAGATTGTTTGACATATTAATCATTTAGTAATAATGAATGATTTATTCATTTATAGATTTTGTTATAATGAAAATATTCTTTCACAATGGACAGAACTTTTATTACATTAAACTGAAATTTTCATTATAATGGTATTTGTTAAATTGAAACATTTTTGCATTGAACTGAATAAGAAATTGGCAGGGGATTTGAGATATTCATTATACCAAAAATTTTGTTTAACTGATGTTTGTTGTACCATCATTTCACTATATAGATTTTTTGTAATTCATTAATCTATATAATTTTCATCACGTGCTATGTTTATTATTTCTGGTAGAGGGGTGTACAATCAAAAAAAGTTTGAGTACTACAGCACTAGAATTTAGAAGTATTTAGAAGATTTATTCCAATTTTCTTGTTACTTTGAGTTTGAAATTTGGAGTGTTTTTGAACAAAAATAGCAAAGTTAAATCTCTAGTAAAAAAAATATTTTTTATTCTTAATATTAAAGAGTCATTTAATATAGAAAGCATAAGAAGAGCTTGATATTTCAGTTATCGTGTGAAAGTACAACTAATTAAATCGGCACTGCACTACACCGGGATAGAATAATCAAAAAACAACGTACAATGAACCTGTTTCCGGTGTGCTTCTCTGTAAACGAAGTATTACTAGCGCTTTCGAACTTTAAGTTCTTCCTCAGGTAACATGTCCAAGCGAACGCCATTCAAATTTGATTGAAAAAAGAACATCATTACGAATTTTCTCGTACGTATCGCTGGCGTCATTGACGCATGCGCCCCTTCGCTGGTTCTAAATTAACGTAACTTTTTGTCTACGAGCACCTGCCATGCAGTTGACAGGATGATCTCGTCTTTGTTGTTAATGCAATTGTCGTCTTTAAGCGTAGCCATACATATGTACAGGGCCTCTAGCCATCTAAGGTGGTGTGTGTACTTTGTAGTGCGGATTACCTTGGCCTGGCTGAATAACGGTTCTATTTCCGTATCCGAGGCATAGACGGCAAGAGCGGTGTTTTGCCTTGCATGTAGAATATCCGCCATGTGTTCTTTAATTCTCACCTCTAAGGAGCGCTTAGTGGATCCTACGTATATCAGGCTTCTGTTCCATCTATGATCAATCATTGGGATGGTATATACCCCTGGGCGTCGTTCTTTGTTTGGGGTATCTTTCCCGTTCCGTAAAATGTCAAAAATTGTGGCGCATCTTCTATACGCGATGCGAATATTCTTTTTCTTCGCTATTGTGTTGTAAATTGATTTCAGGTACGGATTGTATGTAACCGGGATGATGTTAGATGGAACTTCCTTGGGTGCTTGGTTAAGGGCTACTTCTCGGCAGCGCCATTTGCGGATCAATTTACGTACGATCTTGGGATAACCATGTTCGTTGGCTATTTGTTCAATATGTCTTAGTTCGGCATGTAGGGATATCCGATCCGATGAATGCGAGTATGCTCTCCTAATTAAGGCGTTGAAGGCTGCCATTTTATAGTTCGGTGGATCGCACGATCCTATTGGAATGTATAGATGCTCAGCCCCTGGTTTCCGGTACACTTCTGTACGGGTAGTTGTTTGTTCGAACTTGATGTTGATGTCGAGAAAATGGGCTTCAGAAGCGTGAGCTTGATCGATCTCTAAGGTCAGGCCGTATGGATTATCATTGAACGAATCAACGAACCTTGAAACATCCGGCTCAATCCTCCATAAGATGAGAATATCATCCACGTATCGTTTATATAGTAAGATGTTAGGTGAGTATTGAGGGATGACTATATCTTCTAATTGTCTGACCACTATTTCGCATAGGTCCCCTGCGATGGGGCTACCCATGGGGACGCCTCTTCCTTGGCCGTACGTGATCCCGTTGAATTGGAAAAAAGAGTTATAACAGATAAGATGTGCCAATTCTAGTATCTGTTGGTGTAAGCTATTATCATTAACCATGTTAAACAGGAGGTCTCTTACGGCGCAAAATACTGCCGGTAGTTTAATAGACGGGTAGAGTGATTTAAAGTCTAATACCGTTATGAAGCTAGGAGTTGCTGATAATTCCTTGAGGAGTGATATTAGGTCTGAAGGGTGTGTCAGAGCATAAGGATATCCTTCCAGTATAGGCGAGACTAACTTATGCATTAGTTTCTCTAGTTGAATGGTTGGTGCCCTGGCCTTATCAATGATTGGT